CTATCATTGGACCCTATCATTTGTGTCATGGGAGGAATTATGCCCCATCATTGATGTCATTGGACCCTATCATTTGTGTCACTGGGAGGAATTATGCCCCATCATTGATGTCATTGGACCCTATCATTTGTGTCACTGGGAGGAATTCTGCTTCATCATTGATGTCATTGGACCCTATCATTTGTGTCACTGGGAGGAATTCTGCCCCACCATTGATGTCATTGGACCCTATCATTTGTGTCACTGGGAGGAATTCTGCCCCATCATTGATGTCATTGGATCCTATCATTTGTGTCACTAGGAGGAATTGTGCCATGTCATTGGAATTCCCCCCTTCATTGGTGTAAGTGGGGGGAATTATACCCAATCGGTATCAGTGGATGAAATAGTGCCCCATGGGCCAGATAAAAGCAGCAGAAGGGCCACATCTGGCCCCCGGGCCGCAGTTTGGAGACCACTGCTCTAGGGCGATGTTTCTCAATCAGGGTTCAGTGGAACCGTCGGGTTCCTCCAGAGGTTTCTAGGGGTTCCTTGAGCAATGAGTATTTTCTGCCTCTTAGAAAAGTTTGCACCGATACCATCGATCTTTTAAGTTACGTGTAAGAGGAGAATCCTCCCCAATGCCCAATAGTGTAAGGCCTCATGTACACTGCAGCTGCTAAACTGACGTCTAGGAGCTTTTCTGCATTTTTTTTCAGCAGCCCCTGAACTCTCCCTAATGTTCTCCTATGTGTCCGTGTACACATCGTCCTTTACAGGCGGTTGAGTTTACAGTCATTTTTTGAATGCACCAAACTTGTGTTCAGGAGTAGATTTTACCGGAGTTTCAAATGCCAAACACGTGCAACCGCGGTTAACCGCGTTTGTTTAGAAGCGTTTTTTAACTGTTCCATGTCCAGATGCTGTTCAGAGCCTTTTTTCATCATCAGAAATGCATGCAAAGCGTTTTCCATGTATTCAAATGGACCCGGTACACCAGCGCAGTCAGTTCCAGGTTTTACGTGAAGGAAAAATGGTAGAACGTGCCGCATTATGCTCATGATGGGATCCATAGTGAATACAACCAGAAAAGACAGGTCATCTACACACATACTGCTCTCTATTTCTCTCAAAATGTTTGAAATAGTTAATTTTTTACTGTTTTTCAGTGCATTCTTAGCATTTTGGAAGGTCTCCTAAGGTTATCTTTTAAAAACGCTTCTAAACGCACCTAAACGCGGTATGCAAATGCGGCTAAACTGACGTTTTTTAACCTACGTTTTCCAGCAGTCAGTTTCCATCGTTCAGAAGAGTTTTCCAAACGCCCCGTGTACATGAGCCCTAAGAAGAATCATTCCCACTGGCCATCATACAAATGTATCAGGAGCTGTAGATATAGTAAATGTTAGCCGGGGTTCCGCAGTAGTAGAATAATACACCCCAATGTTGGGGCAGTAGTGGAAATTGAATTGTCAGTCCCCACTTAGTTCTGATACGACTTGACAGGGCAATACAATTTGCAGCGTAATAAAAATAAATGCTAGCCTAATATCAGGATCCCGAGCAGCACAAAAGCACCAAGAGTTCCTTTTACAAAACAATTATTATTTTAACCCTTTCTGAAGGCTGTATATAGACAGATACTGGAGAAAACAAGGGGAGGCATTAGCCGAAATGACGAATTCTCTGCCACAAGATCTTTCAAGGACAAGCCCAAGCCACACAGAAATTTGTATTCTATGTACCTAGAGAGAGAAATAAATTATCTGCCGCATTTTAATTTCTGCTCATGTCCCCATTCAAGACATTTCTTCACACTTCCTGTTCATCGGCTCAGGAGAAATATCCCTAAAAGGCCCCAAAACAGCAACAAAACACTCTTGTGGTGGAGCGGTAAAGGGTTAGAACCTTTGTTGGGTTTGTATTGATGTCTGGGGATTTATCACCCAATGGGTGTCACAGAGGCAGAACATGAAAGTCAGGAACCTCATGCCAGCCATCAGAGAGATTGTAGCACATGCACACACAACAGCATGCCCAATGATACATGGGCACGTCCACCACTGCTGCCTGAAGGACTTTTAGGCCCCTTTCACACGGACGTTCCGATCGGGTCTGCCTGCCCGTTTTTCACTTGGACCCGATCGGAACTGCTATTCTCCTCTATGAAGCTGCGGGTGTAAACGCAAATGCGCCTAAACTCGGTATGCAAACGCGGCTAAACTGACGTTTTTTAACCTACGTTTTCCAGCAGTCAGTTTCCATCGTTCAGAAGAGTTTTCCATGAGCCCTAAGAAGAATCATTCCCACTGGCCATCATACAAATGTATCAGGAGCTGTAGATATAGTCAATTTTAGCCGGGGTTCCGCAGTAGTAGAATAATACACCCCAATGTTGGGGCAGTAGTAGAAATTGAATTGTCAGTCCCCACTTAGTTCTGATACGACTTGACAGCGAGCTGGGCAATACAATTTGCAGCGTAATCAGAATAAATGCTAGCCTAATATCAGGATCCTGAGCAGCACAAAGAACACCAAAAGTTCCTTTTACGAAACAATTATTATCTCACTGGCCATCATACAAATGTATCAGGAGCTGTAGATATAGTCAATTTTAGCCGGGGTTCCCTGAGATTGGAAAGTTCTTTCAAGGGTTCCTCTGTGCTGAAAAGGTTGAGAAAAGCTGCTCTAGGAGGGTCTGCTTTCGGAAAATATATCATGTTTGGGGGGTTTTAACTAATCTTCAGGCTTAAAATGATTTTTTTAAATGCGTGTGAAAAACGCAAAACCGACTCTGGTAGTGAGAGGGTTAGGGGATTCCCTGAATTTGGCTTCAAGGATCAGATTATGTCACTCTTTATGCCAACATTGGAGTGATTGCACTCCCAGGAAGTGAAGGGGGTCGTCCCATTTACAACGCCGAGCATTCACAGCAAAGTACAAACTGTACATCCATCTCAGAACACACAGGGCACACAGAACGCACAGAATGAGATAATACACAACCAGGGGCGGACTGACAACTCATGGGGCCCCCGGGCAATAGGGAGATCATGGGGCCCCTGTGTCCTTGCCCAGACTCAAAACCACACCCAAAAAAGCCTATGAAAGGTACCAGGAGCATCTCCTGGGGACCCCTACTGACCCCGGGCCCTCGGGCAGTTCCCAAATGGTCAGTCCGCCCCTGTACACAACATGCACAACCCATGGGGGGTGATATTTACTAAAACTGGAGAGTGCAAAATCTGGTGCAGCTCTGCATAGAAACCAATCAGCTTCCAGGTTTTAGCCCATGTTCACATATATGCAGTTCGGTACATCGCATGTGATTCACACAGGAACCGCACCGCATTCCTGTACAAATCACATGTGAATTGTGCGCGGTGCAATTGGAGTTGTACATTTTGTATGGCTCTAATCGCACCGCACCCATACCAGAAAGATGCAGGACCCTTTTTTTGGTCCGCACTTGAATCGGATAGCATGGGCATTCACACCTATGCGATCAGATTCTGCACATCGCACCGTGTTATGCGGACTGATTTCGGGGTGTTGTTAACATACACACCCGCAGCGGTTCGCATGAACGCGGTGCGATTCTGATGCAGTGCAGAATTCGCACAGAAAAAGCTGCAAATTCCGCACCGCATCAGTGTGAACCCGGGCTTATGCAGGCCATACATGGTTCGAATTGCGAACGATTTTTCGTCCGAAAACGTCGTTCGCTTGGTAATCCATGGTGCCATCAATGATTTCGAAAATCGGCCGACCAAGTCATAAAGTTCACCCCATATAACAGGCGAAACTTCTGTTCCTTCCAGGTCACGGCTCATGCGCATATTCTTTTCGGAAAAACAAGCGTAGGATTTGACCATCATTGAGTCAAAAATCGGTAGTTTTTCACGAATTTTCCAACATGCCCGATCACCGAAAAGGGGAGGAACCAGGAAAATCTGTCGGTGCCATTGATCCCACTAACAGAGTGAAAATTGGCCGATTATTCTTACGTCTGATTTTCGGATGAAAAATCGGTCGAATTTCTACCCATGTATGGCCGGGTCTTGTTGTCAAAGCTTAATTGAACAAGCTGAAGTTAGAAGCTGATTGGCTCCCATGCACAGCTGCACCAGTTCTGAGTGCTCCAGTTTTAGTAAATCATCCCCATTGGGTATAATTAGAAAAAATGTGCTTTGCAAATGTTTCAGCGTTCGTGCAAAAACCGCACATGAAACCCGTAATGTTGTAATATAAGTGTGAAATGCCCGTTTCTATTTGTTGCCGCATGGCCAGGGGTGGATTGACAACTCATGGGGCCCCGGGCAATAGGGGATCATGGGGCCCCTGTGTCCTTGCCCACACTCAAAAAAGCCTATAAAAAAGGTACCATGGGCATGTCATGGGGCCCCCTACTGACCCCGGGCCCTCGGGCAGTGCCCAAGTGCTCAAATGGTCAGTCCGCCCCTGCGCATGGCTCTTGTTACATTCCCTAACCTTCTACCCTAAGGCCCGGTTCACACCTATGCAGTTTGCGTTTGATCCGTTTCTGTTCAAGCAGTCAGTTTCCATTGTCCAGAAGAGTTTTCCAAATGCCCCGTGTACATGAGCCCTTATTATTATATTCCTCCCAATGTACATATATGGCTTTTTAGTTTCCATTTACTTGCATGTATTCGAAAAGAGGGGAAGAAAAAATAGTTGTTGAAGGCAAAACAACCTGTAGTGCAGATTCAGTGAGAATTGAAAAAGAGTCCTGTCTGTTTTCTGAGCTGTGCAGTCCAGCTCAGGTGCAAATTGCACAAGTTATCATTTGTGAACAGGCGTTCAAGTGTTACTAAACACAGGACCCTGCATTCACTATACTGGTCTCCCCGGACCCTGCATTCACTACATCTGGTCTCCCCGGACCCTGCATTCACTATATATCGTCTCCCTGGACCCTGCATTCACTATATCTGGTCTCCCCGGACCCTGCATTACTATATCTGGTCTCCCCGGACCTGCATTCACTACATCTGGTCTCCCCGGACCCTGCATTCACTACATCTGGTCTCCCCGGACCCTGCATTCACTACATCTGGTCTCCCCGGACCCTGCATTCACTACATCTGGTCTCCCCGGACCCTGCATTCACTACATCTGGTCTCCCCGGACCCTGCATTCACTATATCTGGTCTCCCCGGACCCTGCATTCACTACATCTGGTCTCCCCGGACCCTACATTCACTATATCTGGTCTCCCAGGGACCCTGCATTCACTATATCTGGTCTCCCAGGACCCTGCATTCACTATATCTGGTCTCCCCGGACCCTGCATTCACTATATCTGGTCTCCCCGGACCCTGCATTCACTATATCTGGTCTCCCCGGACCATACATTCACTATATCTGGTCTCCCTGGACCCTGCATTCTCTATATCTGGTCTCCAGGGACCATACATTCACTATATCTGGTCTCCAGGGACCCTGCATTCACTATATCTGGTCTCCAGGGACCCTGCATTCACTATATCCGGTCTCCCCGGACCCTGCATTCACTATATCCGGTCTCCCCGGACCCTGCATTCACTATATCCACTCTCCCCGGACCCTGCATTCACTATATCCGCTCTCCCCGGACCCTGCATTCACTATATCTGGTCTCCCCGGACCCTGCATTCACTAATGCAAAGTGTTTTCTATGTATTCAAATGGACCCGGTACACCAGCGCAGTCAGTTCCAGGTTTCGCGTGAAGGAAAAAATGGTAGAACGCGACGCATTATGCTCATGATGGGATCCATAGTGAATACAACCAGAAAAGACAGGTCATCTTCACACATACTGCTCTCTCTGCTTCTTCTGCTCTCTCTATTTCTCTCAAAACATCTAAAATAGTTCATTATTTACTATTTTTCAGTGCATTTTGGGCATTTGGGAAGGTCTCCTGAGGTAATCTTTTAAAAACGTTTCTGAACGCAAACGCGCATAAACGCGGTATGCAAACACAGCTAAACTAACGTTTTTTAACCTACGTTTTCCAGCAGTCACTTTCCATCGTTCAGAAGAGTTTTTCAAACGCCCCCATGTACATGATCCCTTATTCTCCAGGATCTCTGCTTTCATCAAATATATAATTTTTGGTAATATCTAGTAAACATGTATGCAGAAAAATTAAAAAAATGTCCTCGATAAGCAAGTGGTTAAAGTGACATAAAAACCTTGTTTACCAAAGCGAAATATTTTTTTTTTGAACAAAACTGTCTGCGACATGCTGATAAGACCTTCACTATTTGATAGCATGGAGCTGGGGCATCATCTGATTATATGCCATCGTGGCAGCAGGAGATCAAGGAATGAAATGCTGGTAGAAGCAGATACCACAGCATCATCACCGCCGTATCTAGGAAGGTGGCTCATTCCAGCTGTCATTTTTGCAATGTAATTTCTAGTTTCAGTAAATTTTCACTGCAGATGACAAGTCAGCAAGACAAGTGAGTGTAGAATATTATCTTTCAACGCTGTAGACACATAAACCTCATATATATCATATACAGGAGCAGAACACCTGTCACATTTTTACTGCGGTGTTTACACCCATGGGAAAGATTAATCCCATCATTTCCCATCAGAACAGTAGACATTTGCAGCGCAATTCGTAATGTAAAACCGCTTATACGTTCCTAAAATCCAATGTTATTAGCAGGGGCGGACTGGCAACTGATGTGGCCCCCGGGCAATAGGGGATCGTGGGCCCCTGTGTCCTTGCCCAAACTCAAAAAAGCCTATGAAAAAGGTATCAGGGGCATCTCATGGGGCCCCTTACTGACCCTGGGCCCTCAGGCAGTGCCCTAGTTTCCAAATGGTCAGTCCGCCCCTGGTTATTAGGCTTCATTCATAAGAATAGAACGAATCAGGAAAATACCACATTATGGCTACTAGATGGAGGGTGCAATCATAGCCAATATCATCATCTAGTGGCCATGATGCTAAATTTTCCTGATTACACTACAGGCGTACCTCGGTTTACGAATTTAATGCGTTCTCCGTGACGTTTCGTATTGCAAAAAATTCAGAAACCAAAATGTGGTTTCCCATAGGAACCCATTGAAAACCAATTAATCCATTCTGGAGGTCAGAAAAAAGTAAAAAAAAAAGTATTATCTGTTCAAAACTTTTTATAAAGTGCACTTTAACTGCCTCCCTCCCGCCATGTAAGGAAAAGGCAAGGTGGTTCTCTCCTTCATATGACGTCCTCCCACTCTATCCGCATTTGCGCGGCTCTGGGGGGCGTGCAGCGTGGCAATCGGTAGTGCACTGCTTCCCTTCGGACACAGCGGATCACCAATCAGTGGAAAGAGCCGAAGATGTCGGCTCTGTCATGGGATCAGCTGTGTCCAATCACAGCTGATCGCATGTAAATAAGGAAATACCGGTTATCGGCATTTCTCTCCCCACGAGCTGTCACGCTGACAGAGGAGAGGAGAGCCGGTAATCGGCATTCCACGGAGGGGACATGTGCACTGATCATCAGTGTAGCCCCATCAGTGCCACCTATCAGTATCTATCAATGCCACCTGTCAATGCTCATCAATGCCACCTGCCAGTGCCCATCAGTGCCATATCAATGCCACATATCAGTGCCTACCAGTGCACATCAATGCCACATATCAGTGCCCATCTGAGCTGCTTTTCAGTGCCACCTCTCAGTACCAGTCAGTGCCACCTATCAATGCCAGTCAGTGCCACCTATCAGTGCTGCCAATCAGTGCCACCTATCAGTACCAGTCAGTGCCACCTATCAATGCCAGTCAGTGCCACCTATCAGTGCTGCCAATCAGTGCCACCTATCAGTGCCAGTCAGTGCCTCCTATCAATGTGCATCAGTGCCACCTATCAGTGCCCGTCAGTGCTGCCTATCAGTGCCCATCAGTTCCGCCTAACAGTGCCAGTCAGTGCTGCCTATCAGTGCCACCTATCAGTGCTCGTCAGTGCTGCCTACCAGTGCCCATCAGTTCCGCCTAACAGTGCCAGTCAGTGCCGCCTATCAGTGCCACCTATCAGTGCCGCCTATCAGTGCCATATCTGAGTGCTGCCTTTCAGTGCCCATCAGTAATGCCTGTCAATGCCCATCAGTGCCACCTATCAGTGCCCATCAGTGCAGCCTATTAGTGCCCATCAGTGCAGCCTCATTAGCGCACATCAGTGAAAGAGAAAAATCACTTATTTACAAAATTTTATGACAGAAACTAAGAAAAAATGTTTTTTTTTTTTTTTAATTTTCAGTTTGTTTTTGGTTTGTTTAGCAAAAAATAAAAAACCCAGAGGTGATTAAATACCACCAAAGAAAGCTATGTGTTGAAATAAATGCTAAAAATTTCGTATGGGTACAGTGTTACATGACCGCACAATTGTCATTCAAAGTGCGACAGCGCTGAGAGCTGAAAATTGGCCTGGACAGGAAGGGGGTAAAAGTGTCCGGTAGGCAAGTGGTTATTAAAGGCATAAATACTGTACAGGGACATGATTAAAAATTTCCAGAATGGCTCCAAAACTCGATGCAAAAAACGCTCCAACACCTCCACACTCTACACCACGTGCTGCCCACAGACTCCAGCATGCATGGGGCGGCGCTATAAACCTCCAATGCATCCTGGGGAAATTTGCTTCGTATTGCGAAAAAAAATTGTAAACCGAGGCATTATTTTCAATGGATTTTCAATCGTAAACCGAAAATGACGTCAACCAAGCCGAGGTACACCCGATCAGGAGAGAAGGCCTAGCGACATTTGTTTTTGTGGACAGAATGAATGTACATGTGGTTTCGCAGGACAAATAGCTCTGCACATTTTTTGTAAATACACCCCTAAGGCTACGTTCACACTAGCGTTGTGTGCAGGCGGCAGAGAGGCGTTTGGGAAGCGTTTTTACCGCTCCCCAAACGTCTCTGACAATTCTGCCCATTACAGCACATGGTGCTGTTCTAATGGGAGTGTTTGCGGTGCGTCGCTGCAAAACGGGTGCCTCTGGTCGAGTCAGGAGGCGTTGAAGCCTCCTATTCTAGTCTATGGTGCCGCTCTGCAAACGTCCGGCCGGTGTTTGCGGTGCGTTTGTTTGTGGAGCGGTAACACCATTCAAACTGTATTATAGGCGTTTGTGGGGCGTATTTAACGCTGGGCAAACGCCTAGCAATTTGTAAACCGAGGCATTATTTTCAATGGATTTTCATTCGTAAACCGAAAATTACGTCAACCAAGCCGAGGTACGCCTGTATTCTTATTTATAAAGAACAGTCGACCAGCAGAGAAGGCCTAGCGACATTTGTTTTTGCGGACAGAATGAATGTACATGTGGTTTCGCAGGACAAATAGCTCTGCACATTTTTTTGTAAATACACTCCTAAGGCTACGTTCACACAGTGTTGTGTGCAGGTGGCAGAGAAGGCGTTTGGGAAGCGTTTTTACCGCTTCCCAAACGCCTCTGCCAATTCTGCACATTACAGCACATGGTGCTGTTCTAATGGGAGTGTTTTGTGTTGCGTCGCGGCAAAAAGGACACCTCTGGTCGAGTCAGGAGGCGTTGAAGCCTCCTACTCTAGTCTATGGTGCCGTTCCGCAAACGACGGGCCGGCGTTTGCAGTGCGGTTGCGATGTGGTTGCGGAGCGTTTGCGGAGCGGTAACACCATTCAAACTGCATTATAGGTGTTTGTGGGGCGTTTTTAACGCCTAGCAACCGCCGCTAAACCACGCATGCGGCGTTTGCGGCGTTTGCGGAGCGTTAAAAAAAACGCTCCGCAAACGCCGGACCAACGCTTGCCAAACGCTATAGGGGCGTTTGGTAAGTGTTGGTAAAACAGCCAAGTGTGAACGAGCCCTAAGTGATGGGAAATCTCTTAAGTCACGGACTGCAGCAAAAACACTTCTTTTTAACTAAAAATGGAGAGGAAAATAAACTATCGAGTTGTTATCACCGCCTGTGTCTTTCTATCCCGGCAAGTTTGTATAAATAGAAATCGAGTATAGAAGTAAATGTCCTCTAAAATGTCCCAAGTGTTACTGAAAGCAAAGCTTATCTTTCTGGGAGGAAATGGTTGGATGACTCAGAAAGGTCACCGTATTCCGAGATTTGTATGCCGGTGTGAAGAGAGACATCATTTTCAACAGTTTGGTGAAATCTGAGTTTGTACCTTCAATATAGTGTATATGCTGTACATAATATCATTACATGGTCATGGTTTCACCGCTGAGTCTGTTCCTAACAATGATAGCCACCATGTAACTGGTCTTCACTGGGCCTCAGTCTCCTCTTGGCTCCTTGCATCCCACCTTGCACCATGGCCAGTTAGAACATAGGACCAAATAGCTTCCGGGGCATATATTAGAGTGAGGACCTTTAGCTAAATTGGGTGCTGTGTGTCAGGGGATTTATGAATGATCTAGAGACGCTTCAGCACATCATACTAAGCACATTTCACTGTGTACCCCATTACATTCAGGACATCGCACCATGCGTCCAATTACACTTGGAAAATCTTATTATCTACCCCAAATATACTCAGCACTCCACATTACTCACTTCATCACACCCAAGATTCCATGTCATACTGTCCAG